TCCATCCCAAAAATAGTACTGAATAAAACATTAGCACCCTAATGACAATTAATACGAAAAAGAAGATATATCATGTAACCACCATATAAGAATCTCAAAAATAGAAAAAGAAAGAAAAACATACAATCACCACAATACACAAAAATCTTAAAAGCCCAGTATGCTCTTTGATCACGAAGACAATCTCCTACGAAGTACTGTGAGTTTCTGAGGCCACTGTTTATCTCACTGCGGCTCTGTGTCAAAGTGTGACGTTCATTCCTTTGTCGGGAGATGCTCTATGAAAAGGACCAGAGAAAGAATCCGTATTTAAAGACCCCTTTAGAACGTCTGGTGGAGTTACATGCTAGAATGTCTGTTGGCAATGGGACAGTCTCGAATATATGTTGGGATTAAAGTTTTTTGTAATAAAATGCTGGAATCACGACATGATTAAATGCTAAGGCGTTTGCTGCAATTACGTGCGAGGAAGCCTATTGAAATTGTGGCGGGCTAGAGAAAGTTGATGGAAATACGAGAGGCTAGTGGGTTTGTTAGAATTACATGCTACAATGTCTGTTGGAACTATGACATGCCAGAGAGTCATTTGGAGCTATGATAGGACAACTTTTCGAATTATATCCTGGAAAGTATGTTGGAATGAAATGCTAGAATCTCTTGGAATTATAACTCGTTAAAATCAAGGAATTAATTGTTGTAATTAAATGATAAGACAACTTTTAGAATATCAATATGCAACATGCTTGAATAGGATGCTCTGTGGACCTGCAGGTCTACTCTTATTTCCACAGAATTCTAACTTAATTAAGCATCTGTTAGAATTACATGCACGAATGTCCGTTAGAATTATGTGCAAAATCGTTTGTTTTAATTAAATACTAGACTTTGTTGGAAATATAACACAATGCCTTCAATCCAAAACCAGATTATTTTGGTTCTATTGTGCAGAATATCAGTAATTCACTGTAATTACACCGTGACTTTTTATTAAAAAATATCTTTATCTGTGACTCACAATATGACGTTTAGATATAGTTCATTGTTTATTTATTAACCTGTTTGACCCAATAAGTTATCAGTTACCAAAGATTAAACTACTGGGGCAACTGTACGTAGTGTAGCACTATCTTCACCATTCTAAGCATTATTGCACACGGGAAGCTTCTGTGCCCAAAAACAGTATAGACTCTCTCTCTCTCTCTCTCTCTCTCTCTCTCTCTCTCTCTCTCTCTCTCTCTCTCTCTCTCTCTCTCTCTCTCTCTCTCTCTCTCTTTCTTTCTCTCTTTCTATCTCTATCTCTGTTGACCTTCATGGTGCGTAGGTGTGCACACATGTTTGAAGAATGTGTGCGATCAGTTATATTGTTGTGTCGTTGTGATTGATCCTAGTCACTAGGAAGTGCGATCTGTGAATAAAGAAAAAGAGCATACAAACAGGGAAGTTAATTAAAAGTGATTTTTATATATGCCTTAGAACACACACACACACACACACACACACACACACGTGTGTGTGTGTGTGTATGAGTGTTTATTTGTGTATGATCATGGTAATATTGATGATGATAGTAATAATACTTATAGAGATAATACTGACGATAATACAATAATGGTAATAAGAAGAACAACAATATTAATAATGTGTGTAATTTACTATCTAATAACCATCCACATATGCTTTGTGCTCAAATACTGTATATGTAACGAGTGTCAATTGTTGGCTGATTACTCACGCGTCACACAATACATTTTCAGGTGATCAGGTGAGCTCGATCGCGTGATATCTTGAGCAGCAGACGAAGGTGCAAAATAATGATGATGATTGTGAGAATGATAATAAGTAGATAAAAGATAGTGTGGGGGAGTATTATTCGTTTTCTTTTAAAGTTTATAGTGATATTATGTAAGTAAAACGAAAAATAATTCTTAATTAAAGTAATTAAATCAATTAAAATGTGCGAAAAGTTTCTAAGAAAAAGTCTTAACAGAGTCATTATGTTGAAAAGAAAGTCTTGTAAGATTCTAAAAAGTCTTCAAAAATGTCATTATGTTTTAGAAAAAAGAGTTTTTGTTGTGTGTGTATTTTCCAATTTTCTTGCGTTTATCATCATAATCATCATTATCATTATTATTCAAATTCTGAGTCATTAATGATATAATTAATCTGTTTTCCCACATACGTAGATGTGAAACCGAACAGAAGACATTTTTCTACAAGAAATTTCGAGTATTCGCCTAATGCTATTTAACAACAGAAATTTAACTTCATGAACAGAAAACAAAGCCGGGAAAAGATACTGATATACTTTAAATAATGGATATTAGAAAATCAACTAACCATAATTTAGAAATGGATAACTATGCAGATAATTTGTAACTGCTGGTGATAAATGGGTAAATAGAGAGAAGGAATGAGTGACAGTGATTATAAATGGAAATAATAAAAAAAAAAGTGAGAGGGAAACCTATTGCACATTGCTACTGGTTTTTTTTTTGTTTGT